AGCGGCAGCGCTGAGGAAAGGATCTGGAGGATGGAGGAGAGCTAAGTTCACACAGTGCGGGGAGGGGTCAGAGCAAGGGGAGACAGAGAGGTGGGGGTGGGAATGATGGCTGGGGTCTGGTCTTTCCAGAGGTAACAATGAAGCCCAGGAGGAGGGTCTGGCCTGGTCGCTGGGGACACACATGAACCTTTTCACCAGTAAGCTCCAGGACGCCCACATTCGCCTTTCCTTACCAGGAGCAGGTCCAGAGACTTCATCTCAGCCCTTTGCTCTTTAAAACGACTCCCCCTCCACCCCCTTCTACCCCTCAGGTTCTCAAGCTCAAGCCTGGCACTCAGGGGGCCTGGTCTCTCTAGCTCCTACTTCCTCACCAGCTCCTGAGGGAGCACTCATGACAGAAACTCTCAGCAGGCAACAAGTACAACCACAGGGGAAGTCACAGAGTTTAGGAATCTTAAGGAGTTCTTACAGGCATTGTTCCTTGGCTCTGGTTCCTAATTTGCTTACTGATATGGGCTCCTGGGGAGGGAGCTCCTTCATCCAGGCTCCTCAGGGAAGAGAAAGCCATGTAGCCAGGAAGGCAACAGAGGCAAACTGAGCAGGATGACCAGGGTCCCTGGAGTACACTCCGTCATCTGCATTCCTGCAGACCCTCAGGCTGGATGGTGCCCATTTGCCAGGGTACTTTCTTACCCCTGGACAGCAGCACTGACCTTTCTTTCTTTGAGTCGAAGGTTGTACCCTGGGAGATGGGAAACAGGGGCAGGAGGCTGAGCAGGGAGTGTGCACGTGGGGCTGGGCTTGTACGGCTCAGAGTAAGAGCGACTAGGAGGTGAGACAGACAAGAGGGATGTGACTCTGGGTGTCTGGCCCAGGCATTTCACCAAGACCTTTGCTAAATGGTGGTTAAAGTGTAAATTCCAATTTCCAGAGAGCCTCAAGGCTGAGTGGGTTTGCTTGTTTATTCTCATTCATTCATCCATCCACTCATTTTCGCCCCAGTGGTTTTTAGTACATTCACAAAATTGTGCAACCATCACCACTATCTAAGTCCAGAACATTGTTATCACTGCAAAAAGAAGCCTTGTACCCATTAGCAGTCACTCCCTGTTCCCCTCCCTCCACCAGCCCCATCCATTCACGTTTCAGAGCCTGGCTGGGTTACTTCCACCACGTTCAAGATACCGAACAGACACCATGAGAGAACAAGATGCTGGAGAGGTGGTGGACATCGATTTCCTGTAGGATCTGCTGGAAGCCTGAATCAGCTAAAAGCTGGATAAAGGTCCTGACTTGTCTGGCTGACAATTTCCTCTCTCAGAGACTAGAGCAAAGCAATAAATATTTGTTTAACTTAACAGAATGGGCAGCTATTACCATGGGCCCAATTCCAATCAATAAGGAAGAAGTGGTTAGGAGACAGGCCCATGTTGTGCCAGCCAAGAAGTCTGGACACAAGCAGCTGTGTTCCTCAGACTTCATAAGGGCAGAAGTGATTCCAAGACTTGGGAAATGGACTCAGACACCATAAGCTACAGGACGTGGAACGATTGTGACTCAGAAGATACAAGATAGCTGTTATCTAGTATATGAAGGGTTTTCACACGAGAGATTAGACTTATTCCTTAGGGCCTCAAGGGACATTAAAGGGAGCAGTGGGTGGAAAATTATAGGAAGACAGTATCTCAGATCGTTACAGGGAAGGGTTTCCTAATAGTCAAGCAATCTTGAAGAATGGGCTGCCTTTAAGGCAGAGAGTTCAAATGCAATCTGGATATTCAATAAGGGGATGCTGGAGACGTAACTGAAAAAACAGAGGGTGATCTGACAACCGTGGCATTCCCACACTTGAGTGGTGAGGTCATCTGTGAGGTGTGTTGCAAGTGATCTGTTACAATAATAAAACACTGAAGTGTGTGATTTACTGCCTTTATAAATTAGAGTCAATTCTGGGTTATCTTTATAACACCACTCTTACTCATTGTAAAAGCGAGAGGGGTGCAGTTAAGATTCTGTGCTGGGGAATGCTCACAGGAGTGTTCCACTACAGTGCGTTTAAAGGCTAAAAAAGGCGGAGAATTACTGGGCTGGATGACTGGTAGACTGTCTTCTGAAACTGAGACTCCATGAGGGTAAGCAGCATGCCCCCTCGGTCTTCTAGACTAATGATGATCTGCTGGAGAACAGGTGGTCACTTTGCTTTGGTAGAACTTATCTGCAGACTGTAATGTCTAAGTCTCGCACCTGGTAGAAGGCATTGGTGAAGCGACAAGTCTTTGCAGCACATCTGAATGCTACAGAAAAGGAGACCAAGGACTACGTAAATTATACCTGTCCGTGCATAGTTTTCACATAACAGTCATTTGGATGATTTCAATGGGACTAAAGGAAAAGTTAAACCTTTATATTTTCTTTAAACAAAAATGGTTATAGATGATGTAAACACGCCCAGAAAACATGATTTGCTTTTTGAAACATTAAACATTTTTTTCTCTCTAAGCAAGAATTGTCATCAACTGGTAACTAAAAGAACCTGAACTTAGCCAGCCTCTCCATGATCCAAACTGGAACCGACTCTGCGTTTTCATTTCCCTGGATAAATGGCCCTGGCAGGGCCTGCCGTCTGTCACAAAGGCCGACTGTAGAAGTGCCACCATAAAAACACTTGACTGACCAACTCAGACCTTCTCACATTCTTCCCTGACTCCTTTGCCAAGTCATTTTTCTGCCACTCTGCCAAATGAACAGATGTTAATTACTCCTCTGGAACGCAAGGGTGACCAAGCAGATGAAGGTGTCTGTCACCTGGTGTAGTGCGCTACTGGGCAGCCTGGGATTTCTGGCACCTCATAATTTTCTTCTTTTTTAAATTTCAAAACTGTTTTCATTATAAAATTATTATTACCACATTATAAAAATTTGGAAGCTATAGAAAAGAGTGAAATCATGCATTACCCCATCATCCTAATAAAGTCACTTTGCATTTTAGTGTATTGCCTACTTTTCTTCCAGGCTTTCTTTGTATATGGTTATATTGGCTGCATATATTTAGCTTATTTATACCTCAAGGGCTCGAAGGAGCTTATAGAAATACGTATCACCAGACAGGCAGCTAACCTTCCATTTGCCAGGCTGCAACCCCAGAACCATCCTTGGCTCCTCTCCCTCCACTCCAACCAACCTCCATTTCCGTGGATTTGTCTGTCATTAACCCTTCCCCACCCCTGCTGATGATGTCCCATCTCTAGTCCAGCTCCTCATCACCTATGCCCCTAAACCACTGCACTGTGCATCTGCCTTGCTCCGCCTCCACTTTCTCTCCCTTTCCTTCAGCTTGCACTGCTGAATTCCTTTCTTCATTCTGACTGCTCTCCTGTTGAACAACATCTACTTGGCTTCCTCTTATCTGACAAACAGAAAGTATTCTTTGATCTGAGATTTATAAACATGTATAATTTGTCCCCAATTCAGCTTTCCTGTTGTCTCTTTCCCCATTTCCCCACTCGGAGCCTCTGCTGATGTACTTGTACCCTCGACGTGAAGCTGCAGCGTGCAGAGTGTGTGGGCAGGACACGTACCCGCTCCCTGGTGTCCCTGCAAGGAGAAGGGTTCCTGGACAGCTGAGACAGAGTAATGGGTATTCCATTTACCCCTTGGCCACTAACAACCATCAAACTGGGTGAAATAAATGAAGCCACTGTCTTCAAGCATGAGACAACAAACAGAGCAGGGCTGTGATCCCAGACAGAAGGAGAATCCAGGTGGCCAGAGCCACCATCCCCCGGGCCTTTTTCCTGGGGGCACTTTTCAGACTGTGGCTCAAGGAAGTGGAGTCCACCAGGGAGCAGGGCGGCCCAGGCCTTTGCCAGCAGCAGAAATGGCTCAGAATGGAAGAAACTGGCCCAGTCTTTGCTTTTTTAAGTAGGCTGCTCAAACTTTGGATTTTAGAAATATATAATTCCTATAAAACCTCCCTAGGAACTTTTCTCTCTTTATGCTTTATCTTCTTTTCAACGTCCTCTAGCTGAGAATACTGAGTCATCTTTCCAACAGCCATGCTGTTTTCTGTCTCTCAGCCTTCTATCTGCCAACCCGCCTCTATCACAGCAGAGGGGAGATCGCACGCTGACCTGCAGAGTTACACATCAGGGGGCACCTCTGGGATGGACTCTGCCGCGCCTGAAGCCGCACACATGACCTGCTATGGGCAAGTCATCAAAGGCCCCATTAGTGCCAAGGTCATCTCTGAGAAAGATCTGTGCCAAATGCCGTCACCCAGACACCACCCGAGAGAGAGGGGCAGGAAGTAGCTAAGATTTAAGCAGCACATCTAGAAAGGGGGTGGCTGGGACCTGCTCCTCTCACACCCCAGGCTGTAATTTTCAAAGCCGGGACAAGCTAAGCCTCCATCCCACTTTTTCCTGCTTAGGTCCACCCTAAAAGAACATTTAAAGAGCCCCCACTGCTCTGCCTTTTGCACCCTGCTGGACAGATGGAGACCTGCCTGGAATATGTCAGGCTTCTCCAGCTCAGACCTTGGGGGGCAGTTGTCAGGGAAGGTATTCCTTCAGCTCACTGCTGAGCATGCCCTCCACGGGCACCCCTTCAATCACCCCAATGTGTCACCGGATTCAGGTAGAGGGTCCATGCCTTCCGGAAGCAGAGCTCATAGGGGCTTGCTTTCTATGACAACTTACAATGACACTGGAACTTCCTGGAGGGTCACAGCCTGGGATGAGTTCTTCTGCCCTCACTGCCTCCTCTCCTGAAGCCCAGGAAGAGTCCTGGTGAGAGGCCATTTCTTCTTCTCACCCTCACAAAAGTCACCATGGAAACATAATCTTTAGCCCAAATACGTGTGTAGGCTCGGGGGCCTTTGGCAAGTTCAGAAGCAAAGCAAGCCCAACCTTACATATTACGATGCCCAGGGAGCACAGGGCAGCCAGGCCAACCCCACAGACTGCCTGCTACCCAAAATGGCACAGAGATTTCCGTCCTACCGTCAGCGAGTGGCTTGCAGGAGAGGGCGTCATCGAGGTCTCGAGCAGTGGAAGGGTCAATGGTGAAGATACAGTCTTTCCTAGGAAAGAGTGGTGATATCATTAGCTATGCCACAAATGCTAGAAACTTTGCCCCCATCGTAGTGCAGCTTTAAAGAACTTTGAATTTTGCAAACGTGCTGTTAGGCAAGGCGGAGACTGATTTCTATAATCTCGCTCTGGGAAGGGGACCTTCAGTAAAATGTGAGCTAGGGGAGAGCCAGCATGGGTGAAGACAACAGGGCTCGACACTGGCTCGGAGGGCCTTTCTCCTCCTTGTCTGCAAACTGGCACCGACTTCCCCCAGACTCAGTGCATGAAGAGGTGTGAGCTGGGGACTGAGCAGTTTAGATGCGGGAGGCCTCCCAGAAGAGGGGTCTGAAAATTACTCCCCAGAGTCGGTTCTTATTCTTGCTTTTCCCTTCCCCAGTGGCTGACGGGAACCTGTCCTTGGAGGATCTACATGATGACCCACGGCGACTTTTCCTATCTCACAAAATGGGATGTGCTTGTGACACAGGGGGGAGGAGCCAGGAATACATTTTACAAACACCACCAGGCCATCCAGTTAGCCATGATACAATTCTAATGAGAAACAGCCCTAATCATCCTTAGTTTCCATGGAAACACGTACATTTCACCCAAACTCCTACCATCAAACACACTCTGGGCCCATCTGACGTCGCAGTGTTCCTACGTACATCTCATTCTTTATTGCTGGGCCAGTCTCATTTTGCTTTACAGTTTCCCATTTAACACGCCCCACCCTCCCAGCCCATTCATTTGGGTGGAGTCTGTCCTCAGTTCTCCATACCTCTTGCCCTTTCCTGCCCAGGTCCTGGCGTGCGTAGGGGACAGTTCTGCATCCACTGCCCTTTGTCCCTGGCACGCAGGTTGGCAATCTACGCTCCCTGCCCCCACTGGGCTCTCCCAAGTTCTTCCTCTGCTTCATCCAGCACCAGCAGTGCCACTGCCGCCACCCCCCCCCCACCCCGCTTCAGCACTGATGATGTGGACATCTGGTGCTCACCATGGTTAGATCTGCCTTGTTCTCAAAGCCTTTTCTCAGCATCACTCCTCTGCTCCAAACTTGCCTAAAGCCCTCCAAGGCTGCCAAGCTGCTCCGGGCATCACCTGCAAGGCCCTCGGGCCTTCTTTCTCTGACCCGCTACTGCCCACATCCCTTACTCCTATTGATCCTCAACAGCCCTCTCTGTTTCCCCCACACCAATCAGCTCCCCACCACAGTGACTCAATTCTAAGACAGTTTTAGCTTTCAGTGAGTGCACCATCAATTTAACAGTAGCTTTCTGGGGAAACAAACAAACAGAAGACACCCACCAAAATAAATATATGCACTTCAGGATTTCGGAAATGTCAAACTGTTAACCAAAAAAAAGTCTGATCTTAAATGGTAAATGGATAACCAAACTGTGGTACAGCTACACAATGGAACATTTAGCAACGAAAAGGAACACATTATTGACACACACAGCAACTGGATACTATACTACTGCTCAAAGGTATTATTCTGAGTTAACGAAGCCAGTCTCCAAAGCTTACATACTGCATGGGTCCGCTTATATGACATTCTCGGAAAGACAAAACCAGAGTGACAGAGGGCAGACCCGTGGCTGCCAGGGGTTGGAGAGGGAGGCTGCCGGAGTGGTGGGGCTTTTCTGTCGCTTGATTTTGGCGGTGGTTCCATAAATCTATGAATTTATTAAAATTTGTAGAACTGTACACCAAAAAAAAAAAAGTCAATTTTACTGTTCACTAATTCAAAAATAAAAAATTTAAAATGTGATTTTAGAGTCAAGAAAAGTAAAAAAAAAAAAATGTGTTAAATGTTAATGGAGTTCATCAATGGGGGTTACAATTATGGATTATTTTTTCCTTTATGATTTTCCATATTTTTCAAAATTTTCTCTACAGTTACGTATTACTTTCGTGACTAGAAAAATTTAACACTGTAGAGAATCTCATCCAATCAAAAAACAACTGTCCATCAGATATATCGCTTAGGAGGATATTTAGCTACCTCATAACATCTGTTAAAACTCATATTGTTTAATGATAGTCAATGGATTTAAAACTATGGATCTGGTAAAATGAGGTAATCACTAAATAAGAGAGAGGAGAACGGGGGAACCACGCACAGTGGGAACAAGAGCGTTTAGAATGCAGCCAGAAAGAGGGGTTCATCAGGAGACACACTATTCTCACAGTGCGGCGAACACAAAGGTTGAGATCTGAGGACAAATGGTAATAACTTCTGTCATGTTCTAGAAAAGAGGCTATAAACCAAGAGGCCAGAGGAAATCCAAAAAACACTGATGGTCTCTGGAAAGTCAGCTCCAAGGGGCCTGGAACAGGGGCTGTAACTCACAATGTTTCTTGAATGAATGAACATTGGTGAGAGGAAGAGACAGGGAAGTGAGATTTATCCAGACACCACCATCATGGGCTCCAAGTTGGGGAGGATCTTGAACTTGATTCACAAGGTGAAGAAGGAACCGTCTGCTTCTTACTCATTTCTGTATCTCCAGTTAAACCCAGCACCATGTTTACACACAGTGAGCACTCAATAAATATTTGTTCAACTGAACCCAAAATGTCAGACTTGGTAGTGGGAATGTTTTGGTCCTTCTTCTTTCAGCATAATGACATCCTAACAAGCTGAAAGAATGTCCCACTAGTAAAAATCAAAAAGAAGACTGTTAGTTTTGGTGGGGAGGGGCACAGTTTACTAGTTTACTTGGGGGGTTGAGTAGGAAGTTAGGTTTCTTAAGATTACACGTTTCTGGACACACTAAGACTTCTATTTCTATGGATGTGGTGAATGAAGGATGATGCTGTTGTTGTCCGTTGCTGTAGAGTCACCTCCGACTCATGGGGACACCGTGTGTGCAGAGTAGAACCACCCCATAGGGCTTTCGAGGCTGTGACCTTTCAGAAGCAGATCGACAGGCCTATCTTCTGAGGGCCTCTCGGTGGGTTCAAACCATCAACCTCTTGGCTAGTAGTCAAGCGCTTAATGCCCACTTAAACATTTCCAGTCTAAAGCTGATTCAGCCACCTGGGACACAGTAAAACTTTAAGGCTGTGATTGTTGGTCAAAAGAAGACTAATATCTTGTGACACGTGAAAATTATATGCAATTCAAATTTCAGTAACCAAAATAAAGTTTTATTGCAACATAGCCATATTTTTTCATTACAATGCAGGAGTTGAACAGCTGGGACAGAGACTGTATGCCTAAAATATTTACTATCTGGCCCTTTTACAGAAAGTTTGCTGACTCCTATTCTAGATTTTAGGGACAAAATAAAGTTTCCCTTCATTCCTCAGTGTGCTAGTAAGTGTTTTACTTTTTTAAAAGGGTCCTGGGATTAAATCAGCTTAGAAAATGCTGGGCCGAAGTTAAACAGATTTCTTAATTGCAGCACTTCTCAGAACCTTTAATGTGCTGGCATCACATAGTTCTTGCCAGACTCACTTGACCCTGGAGCTTTTTGTTAGAGAGTATCTCCCAGAGCCAGGGTTCTTCAGACAGTACCTTTTAAGAACTGATGAACTGTACCAAACCACCCTGTCCTTGTCTTACGTGGTGCTGTGCCACTGAGCCTGCCCAGAGATACCCTGCGACAAGTCAACACAATGGTAGGGAAGCTGTTGAGAGCTTTGCCCGTTTGATCATTTATGAGCACTTATGAGGGAAGCTTATGCAGCACAAGGAGGCACTCTTGGTCTGTTTGTATCTTACAGGCATGTGAATTTTATCCTTGATTAAGTTTCCCTCTTTGCTTTGCTGCTAGGAAACTCAGAAAACCCATTTGTGACTTGCCTTTAGAGGACTTTATTTGTAGTTGAACTTTATGAACTAACCTTAATCCTGGCAGTGTCTGATTTTCCTACTCATATATTCCTTTTTCCCCATTTCCTAATTTAAAAAAAAAAATCAGTGTATTATATGCATATTTACAAGCTGCCTCAAATCATTTTCAGAAAGAAGCAGGGTATAAATAAATACATAGGTATATTTCAGAATTACAACATTTCAGAATTATGTGTTGAGGGGAAGCTAGAAGTAACAGACATGCAGTATGGGCTACTAAGAGAACTAAGTTCTAGACAGAGTAAAACTCAGAGGGCTTCCAACCAGTATTTGTACTGTAGCAGTGGCCTCCAAACTTGCTCTCTCGCTATGGAAAACTGGGAGAAGCAAGGGAACAGCGAGTGACCCTGACAAACCCCAGTGCTCAGTGCTGAGAGCCAGAGATTTAATCTGTTGTCATCGCCACGATTACGAATCGGCCACGATGTGGTGCATGCAGGCTCCTTCTGGTTGTGGGCCACAGGCTGGGAGCTGCTGGCCTCAACACCGGGGCACCCAGCCCGCAGGGGTGGGTTTGGGGGTGATGGGGTGGTGCGCGGTGCAGCTCCTACACTCAGTTGTTAACACGCTTGAGATTTTACTGGCTCCTTTTCTGGAATACTCTGGTCTCGCAACCTGCAGGGAGCAGCCTGGCTTGCCAACTTTTAGAACCTGTGGGACCAAGTATTTACAGAGTTCTGCAACAATGGTTAGCAAGAAGCTAACCCTGACCCACAGAAAATAAAGTGCCAGGTGGGGGTGGGGAAGAATGAGCCTCCAGCTCATGAGGCTGCAGAATTCCAATTCAGAGCAAAGTTATGTAACCAGGATTTCTGAAGGCACGTGACCCAGGGCTTAGCAGAACTTTTTAAAGTGACAGAAAACCTCTAAAATGGATTGTTTTACTCAAAGCCATTGACCCAGGAGAGTAATGCGTAAAGAGTAACTAAAAGCCTTCTTCAGTCCTTTGAGACCTGGCCAAGAAGCCAGGAAATGACTGAACACACAAAGACTTTCTGTTCCTGCCGGTCAAGCACTCTCCCTCTGACCCTGCACGCTCCTCCCCCTCAAGGCATCGACCTCGCCTTCTGTCTCTTTCTCTCATTTCAGCTGCAAAGGACTGTCTCCTCTCCGAGCAGCAACGCTTCCTCACCACATTGTCGC